GGGTCAGCGTGGCCAGCAGTGGTGGTGGCACCTCCACAACCACACGAGTGTAGACACATGTCCCTCAATGCAACCACCACTTCTCCCCATCATTTCTTGGGGTGGCCCTCCCAAAGGTCGCACACATTATGGCAGATTTTGGGTTCAGAGGAATCCTACCGACTGTGCCAGATGTATGTCCGGGGAAAGGAAATCCTGGGGCAAAATACCTCTAAAAACTGAAATCAAAGGGAGAAATAAAGTTTAAAACCTGTTTATTGTTACAAACTGCAGTCCAGCCCATCTCTCCCTCCTGCTCCAGCAGCAGCAAAACTGGCCCTCCCCTCACCTCTCGGTACAGATAAGCCTTCCTTGCCCAGGTAACTACCCATTGATATGGAGAGGAACTTCTCTCCACCCCTGAGGAATGATGCAAATGCACTAAAGCCATACTTCTCTCCATCCTTGAGTTCCTGTTGATATGCGTATGTACTAAAGCCAGGTGAGATACTTTGGATAAATTACAATTTTACCCACACACTGTTATTTGCTTCTACAGTCCTTGTGTCCTGGATGCGCTCCCTGGCTGCAGCTGCCGCGTGATGGCTGGAATGGATGAGTTTTGGACTTAATCTGCATGGGACTTTGAACCTAGCTGTATCCTTTGGCTTAAGAATTATCATGATTGTGCTGCTGTTGTCAAGAAAAAAAAAATGCTTAAAGAGAGGCTTGACTTTGTCTATTGTTTGGTAAAAGTTTTGTGAGCAATCTAGTATGGTTGTTAGGAATGAGTAAACAAGTTGTGGGTAAAACTGTGACATTTCCAGAATATGTCGCCTGGCTTTAGTACATGTGCATATCAATAGGCTTTCAGTGGTGGAAAGAAGTATGGCTTTAGTACATTTGCATCATTCCTCAGGGCTGGAGAGAAGTTCATCTCCATATCTGCGGGTAATTACCTGGACTAGGAGGGTTTATCTGTACCCAAGGGTTGAGGGGGACGGCTGTTTTGCTGCTGCTGGATCATTTAGACTGATTGTCCAAGGGATATTGTGGCCAGATCTCATTACAGTAGCAAACAAGCTTAAAAGGTTTGAGGTCTGGAGTGAGGTGGAGGGGTTTAAAATTATTGAGTAAGCACCCTAGTGGTGAATCTGTGGGAACAGAGGGGCCAGATCCCATAGTGAGAATGAGACCATTCACAAGTTGCTGAGGTGTCCCAGAGCGATTGAGAAGGTCATGGAGAAGACCAGACCTAGAGGGGTCGTCACCACCTCTAGCTGAGTTGTTGAGGTGAAAACACCAAGGAGGCTCAGTACCTGGTACCAGGAATTTACGAGTAAAGGGAGAATAGGCCTCAGTGAATGAGGATTCTCACCACGGGGAGGCAGAGAAGGGTCGACTATGGGGATCAACCATGACTCTGAAAGTCATGGTTGGCGGTGCTCCTATCCTGGAGGAGCCCTTGGGGGTGCCAGACACTCAACGGTCACTTCCCAGGTTCCAAAGGGACATTTAAGTCGACCATGAAGGGGAGACTCACCAAATCGAAGGATGGTGTTGGGCGAGATGATGAGTGACTGGGGAAATGGACGGTGAGCCCATGGAGGAGGATTGGGCAGTGAGGGTTCCCAGAGCAGCTCAGATTCCCAGAGAAAGAGCAGAATCAGTGGGAGAACCTCATCCGAAGTCATGGCACCAAGGGAAGGGTATCTCGCCGCGACCCTCCTTACCCAGAATGACTCAGGAGACATGGGCCCACGCAAGAGATTTTATTATCTGAAAGAGAAAGTGGCTGCCCCCAGAGAGAGAGTGAGCAGCAGCATGGTGTAGAGAGTTGTGCCTTTTATTGTGGCAGAGTACCCCTTGGCCTGTTGCCTTGGGGGAGGGTCGGAATGTTTAGAAATAAGGTGGGGCAAGTCCAAGCAAGCCCAGACAAGTCCAGGCATAATTCTCACCAGCTTCTGTACTTGGGACCATGGGGTAAATGGAGGATAAATTACTATATTCTTATAATTACCTTGGTCGGAGCTTTTCTGGTGATGGTCTCCATAGCCAGCAAGGCATGGTACACAGTATCCAGTTGCCTCTCTAACAAGGTGACTGGACCTGTGCTCCTTTCCATAGTTGTGACCAGGCTCTAGTTGGCAGCAGCCTTAGGCTCTGGCCATGGGCTGGGGTCAGCGTGGCCAGCAGTGGTGGTGGCACCTCCACAACCACACGAGTGTAGACACATGTCCCTCAATGCAACCACCACTTCTCCCCATCATTTCTTGGGGTGGCCCTCCCAAAGGTCGCACACATTATGGCAGATTTTGGGTTCAGAGGAATCCTACCGACTGTGCCAGATGTATGTCCGGGGAAAGGAAATCCTGGGGCAAAATACCTCTAAAAACTGAAATCAAAGGGAGAAATAAAGTTTAAAACCTGTTTATTGTTACAAACTGCAGTCCAGCCCATCTCTCCCTCCTGCTCCAGCAGCAGCAAAACTGGCCCTCCCCTCACCTCTCGGTACAGATAAGCCTTCCTTGCCCAGGTAACTACCCATTGATATGGAGAGGAACTTCTCTCCACCCCTGAGGAATGATGCAAATGCACTAAAGCCATACTTCTCTCCATCCTTGAGTTCCTGTTGATATGCGTATGTACTAAAGCCAGGTGAGATACTTTGGATAAATTACAATTTTACCCACACACTGTTATTTGCTTCTACAGTCCTTGTGTCCTGGATGCGCTCCCTGGCTGCAGCTGCCGCGTGATGGCTGGAATGGATGAGTTTTGGACTTAATCTGCATGGGACTTTGAACCTAGCTGTATCCTTTGGCTTAAGAATTATCATGATTGTGCTGCTGTTGTCAAGAAAAAAAAAATGCTTAAAGAGAGGCTTGACTTTGTCTATTGTTTGGTAAAAGTTTTGTGAGCAATCTAGTATGGTTGTTAGGAATGAGTAAACAAGTTGTGGGTAAAACTGTGACATTTCCAGAATATGTCGCCTGGCTTTAGTACATGTGCATATCAATAGGCTTTCAGTGGTGGAAAGAAGTATGGCTTTAGTACATTTGCATCATTCCTCAGGGCTGGAGAGAAGTTCATCTCCATATCTGCGGGTAATTACCTGGACTAGGAGGGTTTATCTGTACCCAAGGGTTGAGGGGGACGGCTGTTTTGCTGCTGCTGGAACAGGAGAGAGAGGTGGGCCAGATTGCAGTTTTGTAAGCAATGAACGGGTTTTAAACTTTATATCTCCCTTTGACTGATTTCGGTTTTTAGAGGTATTTTGCCCCGGGATTTCCTCTCCCTGGACTTACATTCTGGTGCAGTCGGCAGGATTCCTCTGAACCCAAAATCTGTCATAAAGTGTGCAACCTTTGGGAAGGCCACCCCAAGAAATGATGGGGAGAACTGGTGCTTGTGCTGAGGGACATGTGTCTACACTCATTGGTCGTGGAGGCACCACCATTGCTGCTGGCCGAATCGACCCTGGTCTGTGGCCCAAAGCGTAGGGCTATTGCTTCTGCCATTGCTGCTGCTCCTGCTGCCGGCTGGAGCCTGGTCACAACTATGGAAAGGAGCAGAGGTCTTGTACATCTTAACAGAGAAGTAACTGGCTGCTGTGTACCATTGAGACAGGTACCATGGGATTAGGCAGAGTAAGGTGAGGGCCTCCAGAGAAAAAGCAGAGCAAGATAATTAGTCAGAACAATGTAGCAATGTGGAAAGAAGTCCCTTTTGAAACTCTGTGATAAGTATTATGCAAAGTCAGAATCACACTAATTCTCTAGGGTAAAGATACCAGACTAGGAATATAGACATCTTCAGTGAGATCAGTTAAAACTAAAAAGGCCAGCAGCAACTTGGCCTGGAATGTTTGAGCATTCTGCATATAAAGAAAAGTGTCTCAGCATAAACCGTGACTTCACTGTATCAATTTAAAATCATGACACTGTAAAATTTACCTTAGCCTGCTGAAAGGCCCAGCTTATTTTAACCGTACCTATGTGCTATATTTTCTTCTCTGATCCTAACCAAGTAATCTGCAACCTAGGAAAAAGACTAATTTAGTAAGCAAGCCCAACTATAAACAGCCCAAGAAGTTAAGAAGTAAGATTCTTAACTTCAGCAAACAGCAACAACCCAGCACACCTTGGGGGCAGGGTAGGCAGTCTTAATTGACATGCTCCCAGAGGGAAACTGCTCTCTTGAGAAAGAATCAGAGCAGAAAATTTCTTCTATCACTCATCAAAAATGAGCATTCTGGGACCACTCAACAAATCTACATCCCTAACCCTTTAACCTCATTCCTGAAAATCCTCAACTGCGCATAAAACCCCTAGACAATGAGCCAACCACGACTCTCTTGTCCCCTCCTGGCTTGAGCAGGGAGCTCTGTCCTCTCACTTTATCTCTAAATAAAAGCCTGTACCTTGCTCTCCTACCTTGAGTGTTTGGGAAGCTCATTCTTCGGCTTCATGAACAAGAACCTTGGCATCACCATGCCTTGTTAGCTACGGAGGGCTTATCTGTACCTGAGAGGTGAGGGGGAGGACCGGTTTTGCTGCTGCTTGAGCAGTAGAGAGAGATGGGCTGGACTGCAGTTTTCTAAGCAATACATGGATTTTAAACTTTATTTCTCCCTTAGACTGATTTCGGTTTTTAGAGGTATTTTGCTCCGGAATTTCCTCTCCCCGGACTTACAAGGAGACTCTGCCTTAGGTACCTAGAAGATTGTTGGTGCAATAGGGGAAAGAGGAAAGAGAGAGAGGAGGGTGCGTATTGTTTGGGTAAGTTTGCTTTTGAATAGGTCGAGTTGTTGAGACAAATGAATTGAAGTATCCGGTAAGCAATTTGGTATGCGAGTCTGAGACTCTGAAACAAATTTGGATGTTAGGATAGCACGGAATTTGTTAAGACTCCTTATGAGAAGAGTGAAGAATTGAGGGAGAGCGTATAGGGACGCAGAGCCCTATTTAGGAATTTAGGATTGGTCAGAGAAATAAACATGCGGATTTAGGAATTTAAGATTTAGGATTAGGGCAGCGGAATAGACACGCAGATTTAGGAATGGCAGAGTTGAATAAAAGCAGGATAAGCAAAGTCAGAGGACATGTCGAAAGCCAAGGGAGCAAGTTTCATGGCGGTGTCGGACGCCTCCTGGAGGTAAAAAGGAGGAAAACAAATCTAGCACTTGGTGCCACTTGGGATTCCGAGGAACGGAGGCGGGTCGGGGTAGGGCGAAGTCACACTGCCGGCAGCTTCTAAATTGGAGAAAAGAGACGGCCTTGTAACATATTCTTTAGGGTAATTTGGCTGTGATAAGACAGAAAGGACGGGACCTGGAGGGACTTTAAAGCTCAAGCGGATAATCGGCTTCAGAATCCCGAACCCTTGAGAGGCAGTAACTGCATCTGTTGCAGACCCTCTGCAGCCCTTCGGGTCCTTGTAAGTTCTTTTCCAGCTCCCAAACGGAAAAGTACCACTGTGACCCGGAAAGAAACTGCCACTCAGGAAAAACAAAGCGTTTTGTCTGAAAGCCTTCTCTCTTTAAAAGTCCTGCCATGCAAATAAAGGGCCTTAATGTAGCTCCTAGCGATTGGTAGGGACTTATGAGTCCGTCATTTCCTCGTACTGCGGGACGCAAACGAATAGCCTGCTTTCTGCTTTCCTATTGGCTGTTGGTTCGGGTTCCGTGTTTAGCCAATCAAACTCTTCTCTTCTCCCCTCCCGCAGCTCGTATAAGTTACATCAAATTGGTATCCTTTCCACATCCTTCTTGAAAGCTTTAATTGCATTCTTAACCGTAATGTCGGGACGAGGAAAGCAAGGCGGCAAGGCCCGCGCTAAGGCCAAGTCGCGCTCGTCCCGCGCCGGCCTTCAGTTCCCGGTGGGGCGAGTGCACCGCCTGCTGCGCAAAGGCAACTACGCCGAGCGAGTGGGGGCCGGCGCGCCAGTCTACATGGCGGCGGTGCTCGAGTATCTGACAGCGGAAATCCTGGAGCTGGCGGGCAACGCGGCCCGAGACAACAAGAAGACGCGCATCATCCCTCGCCATTTGCAACTAGCCGTGAGAAACGATGAAGAACTCAACAAGTTACTTGGGGGTGTCACCATTGCCCAAGGCGGAGTCTTGCCCAATATCCAGGCTGTTTTGTTGCCTAAGAAAACGGAGAGTCACAAACCTGGCAAGAACAAGTAATCAGGAGGGCTGACAACCACTCCCACTCATCTCAAAGGCTCTTTTAAGAGCCACCAAAGTGTCAAGTGAAGGGCTAACCACTAAGTAGTGCACTAGCTCTTTAAGAAAACTTGGGTGGCTCTAAAAAGAGCCTTTCTTTGTTAAGTGCCGTTAACCTAAAAACCTATTTGCTTTTAGCTTTGTGGCTTTCGGTTTTCTTTGGCAATAGAACAGCCTGGATGTTGGGCAAAACGCCACCCTGGGCGATGGTAACTTTGCCCAACAGCTTGTTCAGTTCCTCGTCGTTGCGGATGGCCAGCTGGAGATGACGGGGGATGATGCGCGTCTTCTTGTTGTCTCGGGCCGCGTTGCCCGCCAGCTCCAGGATTTCCGCTGTCAGATACTCGAGCACCGCCGCCATGTAGACTGGCGCGCCGGCCCCCACTCGCTCGGCGTAGTTGCCTTTGCGCAGCAGGCGGTGCACTCGCCCCACCGGGAACTGAAGGCCGGCGCGGGACGAGCGCGACTTGGCCTTAGCGCGGGCCTTGCCGCCTTGCTTTCCTCGGCCGGACATGGCCGAGAACAAAAGCAACACCCTTAAACACCTAAACCTCCTACCTCGCAACAAAATAAGTGAAAGAAGACCAAGTGGAAAGCCTTTATAAGCTTTTCTAGGGGTGGGGGTCAAGAAGGAGTTTTTCATTGGTCCTAAATTGGTTCCAGATACAGCCAATAGGGTCAAAAGGGTGTTGTTACGTAGCTATTACTGACAATGCAATATACTTTCATGGCCCAATGGAAACCAAAGACTTTTGGAGCCTTAATTTGCATATGATGGTTATAAAAGGATCAGGCCCGCCCATTCTCTCACTTCTTTCTTTTGCTATCCTGTGTGGTGTTCGAGAATGCCAGAACCTGCGAAGTCTGCTCCTGCGCCCAAAAAGGGTTCGAAGAAAGCTGTCACCAAAGCCCAAAAGAAGGACGGCAAGAAGCGTAAGCGCAGCCGCAAGGAGAGCTACTCCATCTACGTGTACAAGGTGCTGAAGCAGGTGCACCCCGACACCGGCATTTCGTCTAAGGCCATGGGCATCATGAACTCGTTCGTTAACGACATCTTCGAGCGTATCGCGGGCGAGGCGTCCCGCCTGGCGCATTACAACAAGCGCTCCACCATCACGTCCCGGGAGATCCAGACGGCCGTGCGCCTGCTGCTGCCTGGCGAGCTGGCCAAGCATGCCGTGTCCGAGGGCACCAAGGCGGTCACCAAGTACACCAGCTCCAAGTGAGTCCCCGCTGGGAATGGCGCTCGCACGACTCGCGGCCGCTTGACTCTAAAGGCTCTTTTCAGAGCCACCCACCTCATCACCAGAAAAGAGCTTTTCACTTTTCCCTTTCAGTTACCACAGTAAGTTACTCTACTTGAAGGTTAGGATAAACAGCACAAGTGTTTAAAAAACAGCTCTGCCGAGGTTCCTCGCGCGTGACTGGCCTTGATTTTGTTTGTAGGGCACGTCTTAACGTCCTCCTGTGCTGCTGAGCATTTCTACGAATCGGTCCGAATTAGGATATTGAGAAACGGTTCTCCCGCTTTGTCTCCCGACTATTGTCCTGTTGTGACTTAGGTCTATGTTTTGTCGACGTTCTGAAACGAGTGGTGTCCGGCCATCATCTATCTAAGTGAAGGATTCCAGGACACAAGCCCGGGTTCCAGGAACACTGCGTCACCGCCTCGAGGAATTTCTCAGTTTGGTAGCTGCTGGGGTGCTGGGTCACCAGTTCTGGTCTGCGATGTGGTTTCATGTGGACACCAGCTTTTCTGGGCATTTCGGGCGGAGCCAGCGCTGCCAGGTCCCAGGCTTTCCCTGATTGAGCGATATGAATATTTAAAATCGCGCGCCACTCAGGAATTCGTAAATTCTGGCATCCGCCGCTCATTTCGAGGCTTTGAAATCTTAATACTATTTCTCGGTTTGTGGATCATTTTTGCATATAGTTTTTCTTGGAACGCGCCAACCGCTGATCTCTGCAAGCCGCTGGTCGTTTAGGTCTGAGCTTAAAAATCACCTGAGATCTTTCCAAGTCATCCAGTCAGGAATTTTTGCCGCTCGTGTCCACCTGTCCTTGTCCCTCACTGTTTTGTCTTCCTCCTAGCAGCTATTGGAAATTGGTTTATTTTCCGGTTTGATTTGCCAGTCTCCTTTTCCTCAATATCATCAGTGCCAATCAGTGCCTGGCACACAGTGGACACTTAAGTACTTTTTAATATTTGTTGAATTACTTTTCTTATCCCACCCCTTTTTTAATCGCTTCCGTGGATGGATGCGTGTGGCTCATTTCCATTAGATGTATGTGAAGACATGAAAAAGGAAATGTTTCTGGAGCTCCTTCCACAAGTCTGTCCATGGTCACCTCAGGGCAACGGCTGGGAGGAGCCCCTGCTAAGATCTTTTTGTGACAAAGAGGAGGTGGCAGTGATAGAGCCTCCCTTTACCCTTGGTTTAGCGTAATTTACCTCTTGGATTTTCATTAAACTCAGAGCATTGGCCACTGGGAAGATCTTTTTCCTTCTTTTTTTTTTATTATAGCGCTCCCCCAACCCCCGCCACCACCTCCACCGCGCAATCCTGTTCTCCACCGACATGACCTTTTAATTTATACTCACCATCTTGTTTGCTTTACAGAAGACCCTGTGAAATGGACTAAGATAGGCGAGGTTAATATCCTTTCACAAACGAGATTGAGATGTCAAGTGATTGGTCCACAGGTCATGCAGCTAATATTGTCTACCTTTGTATCCTCAGATGCCAGGACAATTGTATTTTAGTTTTACTTTGTATAATTACAGAATGTTAAATATTTTCGTCCAATTCTTGATTTTGTTATTCAACTGTGCTTGGCTAATGGGTCCTGGAGTTGATTGCAGCGTTTGAGGAATCCAAATGAACTCCAGGCATTATTGCAGACTGAATAAATCTTGTTTCCTTCTTATGTGTGTTTTCAAATGTGTGTAGATACTGTTGTTATTCATAAAGTTACCAATTAAAAAGCTTGGCTAGATTCTTTAAACTGCAAAATATTTTTTAATTAAATGAAGTTAACAGATACAACCACTGCTGGGTCTGTGCAAAGTCCTGGGAGCCTCTGACTTGGAGAATGAATTATTTATAGGCATTGGACAGACTTTACCCCAGAAGTGCACTGGGGCTAAAATAGCCTGTTATGAGGGCACTGATTAATGCTTAGTAATTTGAAAATACATGACCACAAATACATGTTTTAAACAAGATAGAAGAAACAACATTCTCAAATAGTTCAGCTACACCCACAGAACATTTACTACGTGCCAGTGTTCTAGGCCCTTTATACATACTTTTCATTTAACCCTCACAAGAGCCTCATGAAATTGTTAACATTATTACCTCCTATTTTACAGATGAGGAAACTGAGACACAGAGAGGCTTCTCCTCAGAAACTCTCCAGAATAGACTCCTAGGTCAGAGCTTATGGGACTTGAGAAAGTAAGGTTACTTTTTGAAAATCCGGACCCCTCCCTGCAGGGGGGAAAAATCTTTAAATATCACCTGCTTTATTCTCTTCAGGGTGCACCCTGGATATAAATCTATGGTGGTGGTGGCGGCTGAAAGCCTTGAGGATGGTACTGGGGGCTCTGGTTCTCCATCCCAGAGGCCACATCTCAACTTGGTATAGTTTTGAGACAGGGACAGTGGGTGTAGTCAGAGTAGGGTGACGGCCTCCGGAAAAAGCAAGGCAAGATATTTACAGTCAAACCAATGTAACAATGTAAAGTCCCTATCAAAACTCTGTGTTTAGCATTATGCAAAGTCAAGGTCACACTAATTCTCTAGGGTAAAGATACCAGACTAGGAATACAGACATCTTCAGTGAGATCAGTTAAAGCTCAAAAGGCCAGGGGCAACTTGGCCTGGAATGTTTGAGTGTTCTGCAAGGGTATCAGCATAACCAGTGACTTCACTGTAAACAGCCCTGGCAAACGGACAACAACCCAGTCCACCTTGAGGGCAGGGCAGGTGGTACAACTCCACACCCTAGGCCCTCAGTTCCCCCAAATCCTCAACTGCCTCTAAATCCCCTAGACAACACACTACCCCGGGCTCTCTTGTTCCCTCCTGGAGTGAGCCAGGAGCTCTTTCCTCTCACTTTATTTCCAAATAAAAGCCTCTGCCCTGGCTCTCCTACCTTGGGTGTTTTTGCTAAGTTCATTCTTCAACTCAGCAAACAAGATTTCCAGTATCAGTTTGAATCCACAGTGGTAGGACTCACTGTTGGAATCCCTGCCCAAGGCTCTCAGGTCCTGGTTTCAGGCTCCTCTTGGGCATGGTGTTTACCAAGAAGGAAGTTACAGAGTGAGGAATGGGGAAGAGGTGACAGAGTTTGGTATTCTAACCCTGGAGGGGACGTAATTAATGATGGTGAGATTAGAACCTTAAGAACCCTCTTTCTCCTGCTCAAACATCTATAAACATTTGCTTATATTGCGGTTAATAACAATAATTGCTATAATAAAAATTGCTTCTACTTAGGGAGCAGTTAACTATTTACCTGGTCCTCTTCTAAGTGGTTTACACCCATTGCTTCATTTAATCTTCACTGCCACCATTTAAGATAGGTTCTATTTTTAACTTTCTTATTTTGTAAAGGAAAGTAAGTCTCAGAGAAGTTACATGATTTGTCCAGGATTGTTTAGGAAGTAAGTAAGTAGTGGAACTGCATTCCAATGCAAGCTTTTACAACACTTGATATTCAAGGGCCTCTATAGTCTGCCTCTTCCTTCTTTTATAGCTCTATCCTACTGCTTTCCTGTAAGGTTTTCTGCTTTGGTTAAAATGGTCTATTCACCTTTCCCTAAACCCATGTATTCTTTCCCAGGTCCAGACTGGATTGTCCTTTCTGTTTTGGCCAGAACTTTCTTTCAAGCCAACGCCATATCTTCCAGCTCAAATAACACCTCTTAATTCATTTCTCTACCATACCACCTCTACTTTAAGAAAGCCAACTTTACAGAGGTATAATTAGCATACAACAAACTGCACATGTTTGAAGTCAATTTGCTAAGTTTTGACATACATACATACCTATGAAAACATCACCGCAATCAAAATAATGAATATACCATCACCAGATCCCCAGTTTCCTAGTGTCCCTTTATAATTCATTCCTCCTTTTCCCTTCAACAGTGCCCTCCTTTGCCCCCATCCTTACCCTCAAATAACCACTGTTTTGCTTTATGTCATTATAGATGGAATTTTCTAGAATATTATGTAAATGGACCCAGACAGTGTATATATTTGTGTCTGGCTTTCATTCAGCATCATGATTCTGAGATTCATTCATACTTGCATGTTTCAGTAGTTCATTCCTTTTTATTGCTGAGTAGTATCCCATTGTATGACTACACTACAATTGTTAATCCATTCACTTGTGGATGGGTAGTTGGGTTACTTCCAGTTTTAGTCCCCCTTTTTAATGCACTCTAAATTTGTGTCATAGTTATTCCAGAAAAACACAATAAACTTTCTGTCCTCAATTGGGAAAGAACTCAGATGGGGAATGAGACATATACACAAATACTTATTCTGTCAAGTGGGTGAAAGTATTAGGGTTTCACTTTTGTTCTTCTAGGCTCAAAACCTCCTAAATGTTCTGCTGCCAGAATAATTTTCTAAAGCACAGCTGTGACTTCATCACC